CAGGAGTTTTTCCTGTACAATTGTTGTTTTTCCATACTGCCATCGCTACCAGAGTTTCTAATGGTCCTTAGGGTTAGGGTATTTGTGAAAACAATTGGTAGAGAAATTTGGTTTTCTGCAAGTATTTTTATTACCATTCTCTACAGTTTTAGATTATATAGTTTGGGGGGCAAATGTTTTTTTCCATGATGTTGCCCCCTCCCCCTTTAGGGTTACATTGGTCAAGTGTTGTTAAAGTAAATTTCTTCTTTAAAATTCTCCAGCTGATCTGTGTTTTCAAATGAGGAACCCATTCAGATTTCACTCCCCTGTGAAAAATTTGTGATGATGTAAAAATGTAGTATGATGAAAATAGGGAATGTTTGCCATCACGATTACCACCACATACAGAGTGAAAGGTGATGGCCCTATAGTGGTGTAGACAAGGTCACTTATGTAGTAAATCCATTCAGATTACTGAATCGTGACTTTTTGAAGCTGATATAGCTTCCAACTCTATGGGACACCTGAACTGACTGGTCTCTACAAACAGTGTTATTTTGTTAGCTGTATGCTCTAGGCAAAGAGAACCCTATTCTTATAAAATGTATAAACTTGATGTCAGTACTTGAGATGAATGAGTGCTGCCCACTGTTTTGAACCAAAATTCTTTAATAAGCTTGTATGCTGGGATACATGCTGATTGCTATCACCATATCAAATTATAATTAGTTGTCATGACAACTAATTCAGCTATACATGTGTGTTTTTGGTTCCAGTGTTTTTAATATTTTTCCATTTGGTGACTCAATATATGTAAAAGCATACATAAGGATCCATCTCATTATTGTGTCTTCTCTTGGACACACATTTTAAAGCTGTCTTTAGTATGACTTGTCAAAATAATGCAAAAAAAATGTATTTCCTTTGAAATTAAAGTTGTATTTATAGTAAAATTTAAAGGGGAACCGCTCATTCCCATGGATTGCACCAAAGAATTATGGGACACTACTGTTTATGTTGTTTACAATGTTAATCTATCTTTTGTTATCCATTGTTATTTTAATCCAGAAAGTAAATTTGTTGTAAAATTAATCTTAACTGGAAGGTGCCCCTTTAAAAACTAAAAAGTTATAGAGTTAATATAACTAGTTTATGTAATGTTTAAATGGAATATCGGAATGATTACTTCAAATGAGGTAGTTTCATTTGGGTGAATAACCGACTATTTGACAGATAAAACAATAAAACTAAGTTTGACATCTGGATGCAATGTGCCCTTTCTCATACTTGATACAAAAAACAAATATTATGAGAGAAAATAGATGTGTGTGAAACTATGTTGAAAAACCTTCTTTTGAACCTTTGAATGCAAAATTCAACTTTTGCCACCTTTGTTCTGTTCTGTTCTTTTGAAAAATAAAAAGTTAATATTATACACATTGACTTGATCTTGTATATAATTTCTTTCTTAAATTGTAAATAATATAATTTGAAGTTAATTAGTATAATAATGTGTTTATACAAATAGTAAATTCTTACCAATATTGACTTATTGTTTAATTTTAGATTGTGGTGTCTGTACTATGACAGTGTAGCCCCACTATAAATAAAATACCGACAATGTACTTCCTAGTTTTTGCTCACTTTTTAGATTCTTTATAACTTCAGACATATTTATTAGTCTTCTTTGTTTCCTTCTCATAAATATGTCATTTGTACAATCATACCTTACAGCATGTCGCAACAATTCAAAAAAAGTGACATCCTGTTTTTCTCGCCATATAAGTTCCTGACCATCTTTACTGTAATAAAATGTTCTCTGTACTATATTTGTTCTAAAAAAGTGCATCTCAAACAGAAATGCAAAAATTTAACACATTGTATTTTCCATCCATTTATGACTTGTTTACATATGAACATGTGCTAATAATATAGAATCTAATATCCAATTTATCAACTTTGAAAATTTTAAAACTTTATAGTATGACATTTGATCCAATGATGTCATTTCTTACAATCACCTTTGACCTTATGATGTCATTTCCTGTAACAGTCTAATAACTTCTTTCAGATGTCCGGATGCAGTACTACTCACATTGTGGTAGAATGAATGTTAGATTTATAATTGTTCCACTTTTGGCCTTAAGGAGGCCTAGACTTACGTAAATCACACCTTCTGCTTGTTTAAGGGTGTAATTTCCGCATGTAAAGTTTCTGAACTGGTGTACAAAGTTTCACTTTTAGTCTCTGACAACAATTCATTGCAATATCTGACAAACAAATCTATATGTGTTTCACTAAATTGCTGTCTGTTTGGAGTCTAACTGTGAAAAAACTAAAACCCTTATTTCTCTAGAAATAAGTTTAGCTGTCCCAGAAAACCAAACTTATTATCCACCTATTTCTCACTGGACGGACTGCAATGAGGTCTGCTTGATCTCAACCTACTACACTGGAGTTTCATAATGAGTTCTCAGTCTCAATAATTACTGCCCTGGACTGTCATGGATTGTGTTGTTTCTTGACCAGTACTACACTGGACTGTCATGGATTGTGTTGTTTCTTGACCAGTACTACACTGGACTGTCATGGATTGTGTTGTTTCTTGACCAGTACTGCATTATGGACTGTCAATTTTCCTGACCAGTACTACACTGGACTGTTCACTATCTTGACCAGTACTACACTGAACTGTTCACTTTCCTGACCAGTACTACACTGGACTGTTGATGTTCTTGACCAGTACTGCACTAGACTACCATGGATTGTGCACTAGACTTGCATTATAGAGCCTAGTCATCAAAGTATTACCTTCAACTTGTCAACAGCTCCTTGATTGTTATCATCCGGAAGTGATATTAATATGTTTACATTGCAATATGAGAAGGATATATAGTGTTTGTTGATTGCTATCCAAATACACATTAATCGTTTTTCTTATTTAATAATCAGTGATTTATTTCTTCTTGTATTGTAGCAACTTGTAGCAGTGGTGTATGTTTTAATGGAGGAACATGTTCAACTGACTATTCCAAACTGTGTATCTGCCCTCCAGGATTTCAAGGACCCAGATGTCAATATGGTAAGTATTTTACCAGGATTTATTCATCCAAATTATATTGTGTTACTGTTCACCTATTTCGTATTTTTACTGCTCCTTATGTGTTATAGCGCCCTCGTGTGTGTTATAGCGCCCTCTTGTGTGTAATAGTGCCCTCTCGTGTGTTATAGCACCCTCTTGTGTCATAGTGCACTCTTTTGTGTTTATAGGGAACTCTTGTGTGAAAATTAATGTCATATGGCAAATTGTGTGACATCTAGTTTAGGATATAGACATAGCTTGGTTCTAGTTTCCTCAAAACCAATCAGTGAAGTAAGAATTTCAAGGCAGCTGTAATTATAAGCTAACTTGATGTAATGTTATACACCAGAGTTGTTGTTTTTTTATTTAGAGGTGAGTGACTTAAGAAAAATGTAGGAATTATTCCAATTGCATATCATAAGTCAAAAAAGGTGAAATTTTTCCAAGGTCTGCTATTCTGTTGATGACAGTTATAACAGCTGAACAAATTATACAATATTTCACTGTCCTGGCATGATGTTCTGTTGAGAAATTGAATCATGTACCTTCAAAAAAGTCTTAAATGTGTTTTTTGATGTTATTTTCTGTCTAACAAAAAATACATGGGTAATATGGTTAATAATTTTTTTAATATCACAGGAGTTATTACAAATTCTCAAATAATTTTTGTAATATCAAATATCATAAATATATAAGTTTATGTTGCATTACAAGAACAACTAAACTTTGAACTTTATTGAAACCAAATTTTGTCATTTCTATTTTCTAGGATATTCTCTAAATTAGCTCCAAATGTATATAGATATTTAGAAAAAAATCATAATGTGACCAATTTTTTCTCCTGGGTATATACTTGCTGTATAACTATGTTTAAATGTCATGTGATCAGTCATGTGATTATAATAATATTTGTAATATTTGTCATACTGAAACATTACTGTAAATAAGATGTACAACATTTATTGTTCCTTCACTGTATTAACCAAGGAGGACCTGAATGGAATTGCTTGGGACCACACATTATGTGAATATTAGATTATTAACAGTGAGACGAATTTCATAACTGACAATTATTGTATGTTGTATCATGCCCTAGTGGGTAGGTCAGACATGAACAGCTGGGTTGTCATAATTGAAGTACAGTCAATCAAATTGCAAGTTTATACTCAGTAGTCTATTGTAATTGGCTATTAATTACTAGAAATCAAATGATGATAAATGATTCCTATTTCAATTGACAGTCAGGTCAATTGATGTAAGATATCCCTGGATTTCAGTTAGCAAAACTTGATACTGAAATGAAGAACACATGAATTACTTTTCCTTCAAAATCTAAATGAAATAACAGCTTTGAAAAAGCATTTATATATATAGGCCAAAATTTACGTGACAAAATTTGAAAGTTTTTAATATTATAGGTGGTAAATTAATGTTAACAGGTAAAAATACTTAAATATACTTTTCACTGTAGTGGTTTTGTAATTTTGTATTTTGCAAAATTTGTAAGTTTAAATACTGTTAGTATGTTGTTGTTTCCCATTAATATACTTAAATGCACTTAAAATTGGAAAGTTAACTTGTAATATATAAATTTACTTTATGTATACTTTTCACAGTAGTGTTTTCGTAAGGGAAATTTGTTATTTTGAAATTTTGCAAAATTTTAAAATTTTTGTTGTAGTTGTTTCCTGTGACATAATATTTAAAACAGACTTGAACTTAGTTGCACAATTTTAGAGATCACTATATTCTTACCAGTAAGTATACTTTTCACAACTAATTACTTATGCATGGAGTGTGTATAGATTCATTTAAACTTAAAATATGACAATTGAAACACAGAAATATTAAGATGAGTCTCTGAAAATCAGACTATCATGCATTGCATGCTGGGTAATTTTAACATTGGCAGGGGAATATATTTCTATATTCAAAGTCACTACTGATGTGTAGTATAAATTACTATTATTTAATGGGTCGACTTCAATAGACATATCTAACCTAGTGAGAATTAAGAGCAACTTTTTGTAACCATGGCAATAGAGGATGTCTGATGTCTGTTATGTTATATTGCAAGCACATTGTGGTCTGAGTTTCCAGCACCTGTTCACAAATCATGCATCACCTTGAAAGCTGTTTTCCCAATTGCTCTCTGCTAGATTGTCTTGTTTATATAACTTTATACTCATGCCTTATGCACTGGGTACACTGGACTGATATATTTACTGGCTAGTATGCCAAGAATCTTTACACCATGTGTATCCAATCAAAATTGTTACTGATCACACCATTCATGTGTAAAACATCAACCCCTGACATGCAACAGTGTAAGGGATGTACCATTATTTATGTAGGGGTGGGTAGGGTGGAATCAGAGGAGAATGCATAATAATCTAAATGAGAATTACCATTCTGATAGAAAACGATATAATAATAATAATAATGAAATAAAATGAATATTTGAGTGAAAACTTTAATTTTTCCACCCTAGTAGTATAATGGTTGATCCCTAATACCAATATTTTAGCAAAGAAAGGGAAATGAAATATAAAATTTCCCCAAATCTGCTTTCCATTCTTGCAAGTGTCCAGAAGAGGTAGGGAGAATAGCATCAAAATTGCTATTTGTCTCTGTGCACCACCCCCACCTACCTACTTGTGCAGAGTAGAATAATGGTCCTAAACTATAAATTTTATTTTTTTGAGGTTGAGATTAACTGCTTAAGGAAGGTGACAAAAGTTGACAGTGAAAAGCTATTAACCCACCAAGTGCCAATTTCGGCTTCAGTCTCCCATTAACTAAATAAAAACCAAAATCATTTTAATCATTTTTCCAGAATTTTGATCAAGACGCCAATAACTAATTATTTTCATTTGGTTCAAATAAAATTTCAAAAATGTTATCCCAAAATACATAAATATACTGTAAAATACGTTATTTTAGCTGAAATTAATTTTCACTGAAAAGACTTGTTGGGTGTTTTGTATGGAATTTATTTTCACTGAAGCTTTTCTTCAGCAAAAATAGCAAATATAAAGTATTTTACAGTAGGCAAAATGTTGCATTCTTGATTTACATTGATTTCAATTGGCGATATTCATCTAGAGAGAAAATATAGTATGCAATCCATGCTCCTAAAATTATAATCATGATAATAATAATAATTATGATCATGATAATAATAATAATTATAATCATGATACTAATAATAATTATAATCATGATAATAATAATAATTATGATCATGATAATAATAATAATGTCCCTTTGAAAACACAATAAAATTCAAAACAAAACCAAAAAAAGGTAATAGTAGCAAATTAAAAAATGTTGACCTACTTTTTTATCATTGACTATGTTGAACCCTTTGTGTGTCAGTTTTTTTCCCCACTCAAATTTGGGTAAATCGGTTCACATTTCTGTGATTTTCACTGAATTCAATGCACCAAAAAGACAAAATGTGACGTAGCTTCTACTTTTTGATCAAAAATTTTGAAATTTTTGCAACATTTCACTTTGAAAAAGGCAGACTATAATTTGAACTATTTTGTGAATGGTGCCTAAAGTTGGCCTTGGTGCTCAAAAGGTTAAAGATGTGGTGAAACTTGTTAAGAGAATTTATCTGAGTTGAAAATGGCCACTTATCGTTTCCTAAAGGGGGTTAACCTGTCAACTTAAAATATCAATTCAACACATTACATCTGATGTTTGGTTTAGATTTTCTTTCCCCAAGATGCCATTGTTTCAGCTCTGGTTTCGGCGGCATGTGAATGAGTGTACTGGCAAGTATTTTGTCAGCATGTAACTGAGTGTGTTGTCTGTGGCTTCAACATGGTGTAACTGAATGTACTGGCTGGGAAGCCCTCTGGTGTGTTTACCATTCACCAATCATATTGTAAACTTCTCCCTGTGGGGTTTCCATGAATGCAACCCAAATACAAAATTGTATATTTTCCCAAGAGATCAACTCTAGACCTGTCAAAAATTTAACTTACAGTAGGGATAAATGGAGACACTTCCATAATACTACTAGTATTTGGAAATTTGTGTTTAACCTAAGTCTGTCTGAAAACATAGTAATTTACATTTATCCCCAAAGACCTTCCTGTTATATTCAAATCAGTATAGGAAGTTTTCATTTGCTAGAGAAGACTTTTGGTAATGCCCATTACCCATAATCCTCTGCATCTTTCCCTAAATCATGGCTGATTTACGCAGAAGGCGCTGTGATTGGTCAAGATATTATCAACCGTCATTTGAAATTTATAAAAGATATTATACAAAAAAATTCAATGCCTGGACGAAATATTAGATTTTAAAATTAGAACACTAGTGCAAATTTTTATCAGTTGTCTCAAAATAAATCCACAAATATGTTTCTACATTTTAACAAAATTTTTTATCATGAACTATCTATGGTCAATTATGTCCATTTGGTTCAAAATTACAAAAGAAATTATAGAAAAATACATCAAATTGTTCAAAATATTGCATTTTGGTTCTTATTAGTTTAAGCCTTCGTTATGCAAATTTACTAAAAATTTGAGGACATTCAAGATGACTATAGTTCAATCACTGTAACTGCTTACTGAAAGAAACTTTATAGCAAATTTTCATTCAAATCATTACAAAAATTCAAAATCAAAATTTTTAAAACTTATTAACCAGATTTAAAAAAAAAAAATTTTTTGGTAAGCAACGAAAAGTTACCTATTTTAGAACAGAATAGGCAAACTTCTTTTTGTTGAGTCCGGCAAACTCTGGTGGCAGCCATGTTGGTTTTTATTAATAGAAGACGCTTATGCACGTAATCATTCCATATTTGGAAGTCGCATTTTCTTAGATGAAAATACCCCGTAAAATACCGCACAATTATGGCATGCTATAAATTATGGTGTTACTGTGACAGATGTATAATAATTATTAATAATTATATATTAGTTAATCATTCAGTGACTGATTTACTTGAATTGCAGATTAAGTGGAGAAATATTATTTTC